TTCTTCAGTCAAAGTGGCTCTGAGTTCTTCCCCAAGGCGTTGCAGTGTCTGAGTCACTTCCGTAAACGCAGTCCGGAGATTCAATATTCCGCTCAGTGATACCCTTTAAATACATTCGAATACTTTAATTCAATTATTAATTCTGTCGGCTCAATTATTTTTTGAATTGTACATAATTAACACCTGAATTATTAAGATCAACCACCAATGTCCTATGAGCGTCCACCACCAATGACCAGACTTTAGTCAAACCAAGCAGAAGATCCACCATTTTCATTTTTTTTTTACCTGTTTCACACCACAACAGCCCAACTTGTCGCCCCTCCTGTCCACCATGGTCCTCACAAGCAGCCAAATCTTCACTATGCTCTTCACTGACGTGGGCAGTGGTTTTTTCAAGTGAACCACCTAAGACAAGCAGTACAAGAACGGAAACGGCTACACAAACCTGCTAAACCACCTGCGGCGCAACCACGAAGACAACGAGCAAGATGCCCTGTAAGCACCGCCAGAATCCACTACTACGCCTACACCTAGTGAGCGCGAGAACGAGGGATCTGTACCGGTGGATCGAGTGGGTTGTGTGCGACAGCCTACCCTTCATCATTGTTGAGCGCCGGCTACCCGCAGCAGAACGCAGCTCTCTCGCTAGTGTGTGAAGACACCCAGGTCAGTGTGGTGTAGTAATTCCCACCGCAATTCTAGCTACTAGTGTAGGTAGGATAAACCCACAACAATACGTCTACCAGAACAGTAAACGATCGTTTGGGCGTGATCTGAAGACCCAGACTCAGCCCTTACACCGAGACAGACTGGACCTGCAAATCGCTTATAGGCCAACCAGTAAAAATTAGAACACGCTACTAGCACGAGCAAAGCTAGTATGTGTTATGAATCCTCGTGGTCCCAACAGCGGAAGGGTACCAGGCACAGGTAAGCCTTTTACGAGGGCGCCGAGTGTTCAACACTCGACTGGGAGAATATATGGGAGGCAACTCGCCTTCCCCAATAGGCACAATAAAGCCGTCACGTAAACTTCCGATATATAATCGGCCAGCAAATACACACACACACACACACTCTCTCACTTGGCCTTGCCGGATGAACCCTCGCTAGTAAGCTTCGAGTCCACCGACAGGCATAACACACCCAAACAAGCTTATCCAGACGCTTACCTTGAAGTCGGACCTCGCTCGTGTGCTTGAGTGGAAATTCTGTTCTGTTTGTGGTGCTCTTTCGGGCTCTTCCTAATATGCAATCCTAGTCATGTATACAATTATCAAGTGAACTATGATCCGTTATGGATCGCTGCCTTGTTAGTGATATGATATCACTAACAAGGCAGCCTGTGAACAGTCATAATAAGGTGCTCCACAGAGAGTCGTGCAGCTCGGGAGGCATGCACATGCAGGACGCACGTGCTGATCAGAACGCACGTGCTGCTCGTCGAGACCAGCAGCACGGCTGCATACTACATGTTGACCAGCCTTCGAGAGGAAGAAGGCAGCTACATATGCTTGGCGTTGAAGTAGGATTGGACAGCTAGCACTACGAGATCCTAGGACTGCAGGACTAGTTAGCAGAGCGAGTAGCAAGACTTTAGACGTCTCAGTTGTGGGTGTACCATTAAGAGCACAAATCGAAGGTCAATCTCGTGCCACAGTCTATTGATTCACTTGATGTAAATAAGCCGTAGTACGTCAAACACGAAGGGAAAACGATGGACGATTACGGAGCGGTGATGAAGAGGTGGGCTGCAAACGCTGACGAGATGGGCTATTGAGCTCCCGCGTCCAGCGCGTGTGAGACGATTGATGCATGTGCTAAGTGGGAGTTAGTGAATGGCCAAGAAAGTGTGAAGTACTTTTGCTTTGTGCAGCTGACGAAGGCCATTCGACACGTGTGCAAGGAAGATGTTCTTGGGAAGTTGGCGAAGCCGTTTTTGAATGCGAAGAAGAGAGTGTGCTGTGTAGCGTTTCCGTTTGCCGATGACGGAGCCGAAGAGTGAGTTGTGGATAGAATATGGAAGTTCCGATTGGATCCGGTGCAGATTAAGACTACTAACGGCCAGAATGCCATCCCGCTGTACGTTGCAACGTGCCAGTGGCACGGCGCGCAAGCTGCATGAAGGATGACAGATAAGATCGCTGATCGAGGGACACATCTAGCTTAGCTTACTGAAGTGATTCTTGTGCTTATGCTGAAATTGGTTGTCATACTTTTATTCTATATGATAGTTTTACTGAAATTGATGCAATTCCTATATTTCATATGGTAGTTTTACGTCAAAGCGCCAATATACTTGAAGATGTCTCGGACGAAGGTGCGTACTTGTGCCTGTGGCTACAGCTAGCTTGAGGCTGACAGGCTGTTATGCTGCTTTACAGGAAGCTGTCGTGGTGCTATTGGACGTGGGCGCTTCCATGCGTGTGCCTCTACGCGAGCGCGTCTCTGTTAGTGACAAGAACCGACAAGATATGGACAACGAACTGCAACACACGCGCTTTGCAGCGGCGATGGCGGCCGTAGAGAATGTGGTCCAGCAAAAGGTATTTACGGTAGTATATACGAAATCTACCTTACGTTGGTACTAATATCATGTGCGTACAGCTCTTCTTCAAACCAAAGGACGAAGTGGGCATTGTCGCCTATGGATCGGAAGGTATGGGTACAAAATTCTACTAAGATACTGGAGTTGTGAAAACTAATAAATGCTGTACTGTTTTAATGTTGCAGACACGGACAACCAGCTCAATGAGGAGCAGGGAGAAGAGGAATATAAAAACGTGCAGGTGGTGAACTCCATCGACTCTCCGACGCTGCACATGATCAAGAGACTGAGGGAGTTGAAGCCATCCACGAGCAAGGAGACGAAGGTTCGTGCTTGTTACTGAAGATAACTGAGGGTGCTGTTGATGCTCAGCAGCTTTAATTGTTGTGGTGTAGGTGGATATTCTAGACGGGATGATTGTGGCCTTGGACTTGCTATTCCGTCGGACGGACGGCAAGAAATACGACAAGCGGTTGATGATCATCACCGACGCAGCTGCAAAGATTGCAGATGCAGGAGACCTCGAGTCAGTCGTGACTATGATGCAGAACATGGAAGTAAAGCTCCAAGTCATGTACGTTCGCCAGTAGTATCATTAATGTTGTGGACACTGACATGCATTTTGAACAATTACAGCGGCCTGGACTTCCAGCATACAACGATCAAACCGAAAGACAAGAAAGTGGACGAGGAGATGCCTGAGGCTGCCGTTAAAGACGAACCTATGGAGCCAGCTGCAAGTGGACCGGACAGAATCAAGGTACGCTGTATGGATCCTTCGAGTACTATAGCATTACCTTTAACCCATCAACTATGTGGTTTTGCAGGCTGAAAACGAGAAAATGCTGGTGTCTATTGCGAACGAAGTTGGCGGCGAAGTATGTTCTGTATCCAAGCGCATGCAGTTGCTGGCTCAGGGTATGAAGAAGACTGTGGCTCTGACAACCAAGTTCCGTGGTCCACTGGAGTTTGGAGACACGTTCGGGATCCCTCTGTACTGCTACTTGAAGACCAAAACAGCCACGCTCCCGACACTATCGAAGGAATCGCAGAGTTCGTATGAAAAAGAAACAGCAGGGAAAGTGAAACTCGACCGTCGTTATACGTTGCCCCAAAACATCGACCAGGAAGTTCCTCCTGATGAGCAAGTCAAGGCGTATCGCTACGGCTCGGAAAAAGTCCCGTTCGCTTCTGCAGACATCGAGTTTTTCAAGTTCCAGACGGAGAAATCGCTAAAAACGTTGGGGTTTCTAGATCGGTCTCAGATCAACCACTCGAAGTTTGTAGCTGGCACCGACGTCTTCATCGCTGAGCCGGGCAAGCCTCATGCAGCTACGTGCTTTGCTGCGTTAATCGACGCAATGGTAGATCTCGATCAGGTGCTCATTGCTCGCTTCGTCGCTCGGAAGAATGCTGCACCCAAGATTATCGCCTTGATCCCTCACGCGCCGTCTTCTGGTGAGAATTACTACGCGATGTGGTCCCAGCAATTGCCATACGAAGAAGATATACGCAATTACGAGTTCGCTCCGTTGAAAACACGCAAGTATACCCCCTCAAGTGAGCAGCAGTCGCTGGCAGATAAACTGGTGGATAGTCTGAGTATCCGTGACGACAAGGCCGACGAAGTGGGCGCGTGTTTCAATCCAGTGATCCGACGATTCTTCCATGCAGTGTCCATGCGAGCACTGGACGAATCAGCGGGAGTTCCTGCTCTCCCATCGTATCTGGAGTCGAGTTTGAAGATGGATCCTGGTCGACAAGAGAAGATCTCGAGTCTTATCGAGAGTTTCGGCGATGCTTTCCAGTTGAAGGAAGCGGTGAAGAAAGCTAAAGACCGGAAGAAGAAATCGTTCTGGAGTGACGTCCCCACTGCGTCTATCAAAGAGGAAGATCTTAAAGAAGAGCACCATGAAGGTGCTGGAGATGCTGGTTCTGACTTGGAATTGGACTTGGACGATCTTCTGGACAGCGGGGATGTGACCAGTGTGGGGTCTATGAATCCTATTGCTGACTTTGAGTATTTGGTTGAGTCTTCTCAGTCGAAATTGATTCGTAGACAACAAGTCACGACTGCGGTTACTGGAATGGAGACGCAGATCGAGAAGTTCTTCAGTCAAAGTGGCTCTGAGTTCTTCCCCAAGGCGCTGCAGTGTCTGAGTCACTTCCGTAAACGCAGTCCGGAGATTCAATATTCCGCTCAATTTAACGAGTTTCTGACAAAGTTAAAGACGGTCTTGTCGGAAGATTCCGAAGCGTGGAAGACTGTCAAGACTGCGGACATCAGCTTGTTGAGCTCAGCAGAAGATCCCAGTGTCGACGTCTCGCCTGCTGAAGCGCGTGCTTTCCTACACGGAGAGGAAGAAGTGGATGTCAACTTGGCTGCAGCCTCGCTGTCATCGCAGGTTGAAGCGATGGAGGAAGACGACATGTTCGCAGACTTTGAGTAAGAGCAAGAGAGAAAGTCAACAACAAAATCTGATTCTATGGCACATTTGCAGTTTATGACGCTCCAGGGAACTCGGCCGCCGGGTCGTAGAACTTAGTAGGCGCTTTCCGCCGACCGGAGCGGCGCACCGTAGTGAAGCCATCTTCGTCGACGAGAGGCTCGTCCGGCTCCTGCGTCTCCTCTCTGATAGCACCCAACGCCTCTGCGTTGCCCTCGGCCAGACCGACGCCGTCGTCCTGCGTCTTGATCTTGGCAGCCTTAAGGTCAATGGGGATGAGTGACTGTACCTGGTCGTGCATTGCCTTGACGCGGTCGTATTGGCCCTTCTTGCACTCATCCGCCAGCACAGTAAGAAACTCCGAGATCTCCTCGACGCTGCCGTCCTCACAGATGAGACCGAACTCCGTCTCCACGTAGCCGCCAATGTTGTCGGACATAGCGTCAGCGTACACTGTTTTGTTGTACTTGAAGACATTGAGAATCTCCTCCAGCAGAATCTCGTACTTGCGGCGGGTGTCACCTCCACCCCATTCGCCCTCGATAGCCATTCGCAGCGCCGTCCAGCGAGCCAACGCCAGCTTCACACTGTACTCGAAATAGTCCCATGGTGACTTAATCGTACCCTCCGCAAACTGCTTCGAGTGTTCGTGCGCCACCGCCAGTAAGATGCTCTCCGTGCCGCTCATAGTGTCACCTTCGCTTCAGTTCAATTGTGGACGGATGGACGCCATTCCACGCTTTTCAACCAATCAAAAACGTTAAAAAAAAGTAAAAGAAATAATGTTGAAGACGACAATGTCAATATAGGGGCAAATTTTCGTTGGCACATTTTTATATGAGAATTGGATTATAGTACACTGGCGTGGTTGCTAGTGTCGCTCTCTACGAGCCTCCGACGCTTTAGAACGCACGAACATCAAAACTGTGAGTTACTCCATCACCGACGACGACGCCGGCGTGCCCACACTGGTTCCCCGCGATTGTCGGAGCTCGTCAGCAGCCGAAAACTTGCGCGACTGCTGCTCTAATCTCGCGTCCAGCAGGAGCGTGAGCTCCATGGCTTCACGTGCCGTGGCCTCGGCGTCTTCGCGCGCTTCGATCGCGGCGGTCACGAGACTCTTGGCCTCCTCTATTTGCTTCTCCTGTTCCCGTCCGTTCTTGCGCAATACACAGACCAACTCAATCAGGTCTGAAGGGGGCGATTGCAGCAAAGACTCTGGCAGAAGAGGGTCGCTCAGGTCCTCCAGTTTGTTCCTGGCCTTCTCGAGCTGTGTCGCCGACATGACGCCGTCCACGCCGTGTGTCTGTGTGACGCGCATCTCGGTGTTGCGAATGAACTCCCGGAACTGCTCCATCTCTCGCTTCTGGGCTTCTTCACGCTCCTTCATCTGCTCCAGACGTTTACGCGATCGTCGAGGATGCAGCAGCTTCTCGAGCGAATGTCCCTCTTCTTTGATGCTGCTCGAGATGTTGTAGCTGTCTCGGAAGCTGCTGGAACTGCTGCTCGTATGTAAACCGTAGGCCGAAGATCTGCGTGTCATGCTGGCGCGACTAGCACTACGACTTAATCGCGGGTTCTCGATATGTTCCGACACTCTCCGCTGCACCTCACGCTCGCATTCGAGCTCCTTGGCCTGTTTGTACATGCTGATCTGCTTCTCCATGGCCTCAATAACCTTCTGTGTCCTGTTCTGTACCTCCTGTTCAATGGTTTGCTCCATATCTGCCTGTTTCCTAGACTGCTCTGCTGTCAGCTCCTCAAGCTGACGAAGACGGAACTGGAACTTCCTGTACTCGTCAGCACCGAGTCGTACAACGCCAGAACTGGCGGCTGAGCTCTCAGCACTGCTGGTTCGCCATACGTCGCTGTCGGAGTCGTACTCGTCGCCTGAATCCTCATCTTCCATAGCCAAAACCATTTGCTGGAATGCACGACGTGTCTGTAGAGCAGCTACATTGGCCTCAGTCATCCGAGAGGTACCAGAAGAAGGAGAGACTTCAGAGATCCGAGACGGTGGGGAAGGAATAGAAACGGGGGCTGCAGATACTGGAGTAGGGGGGATAGTTGATGTAATCGTCGTGGACGATTCGGAAATCCGTGCGTTAAGCAGGCTGTGGCCGTCGGACGAGCGTACCGACGAGTTGGTGGCGCGGAATCCCTCCACTAGGGACGTCCGCATGTCGCTCATACGATCGCTCATACGTGACTCGCTGAGACCGGACGTGGTGCTGGTGCCTCGGTATGCGTCGCTGTTGACGCGGTTCTTGTAAGACATGGAGCATTGCAGCTGACGGTACTCGGCGAGGCTGTTGCGGTTATTGCGTGACGACTTGGCACTGTGTCGACTGTTGCGCATGCTGGGGACGCGGCTCTGAGGCGGCGTAATGACCGAGTCTCGGTTATCGGACTCCTCCGAGATCTCCGAGATTTCCGTGTCGTTCTCTCCGCCCGACAAGTTTTCGTTCAGTGTGGGGCTGGTGCTACGCAGCGTGGAGGCTGAGGATCGAACAGAAGACGAGAGGGCGGACGGAGGAGCCTTGATGTTGAGCGCGTTGGACGCTGTGCGAGGCACGACGATCGTCTGCTCCGCCTCGCGTGTGGTTGGTTGCGTCTGACGTCGCGGTTTCCTGTCCGAGTGGTTGCTGTGGCTGCTGCTGAGACTGGCAACCGAATCCGCGTCGGCGTCCGAGTGGCGGTGGTGCTTGCGCAGCGAGAAGCGGTGCGTCTTCCGTGGCTTGCGCTCCGAGGACCGGGAGAACAGCGGCATACGGGAGGGGGGAAGGTACTACGACCGGCGGCGTAGTGGGGGGGGGGGAGGTAGTGCCTATATAAGCTACTGATGCCCAAAGTGTCGAGTGTCTCTCTGTTATTAGGACACACTGGCGATTGTGGCACTAGGGTATAAGCTTTACGTCCTTCCCGCCGCGAGAATCGACGCAAGAGCGGGTAGGAGAGGAGAGCAGTATGGAGAATGACACGGAGCCGGCGACCAGGACTGAAAAAAGCGACTGGCTTCTAAAATAACGAGTGTTGGCAGTTTGGCATGTTTTTAGCCAATCATCGTAGCAAGAGTTGCACCACTGGCCAATCGCTGCTCAGAATGAAAGGCGCAACTGGTCGACACATGCAGGTGCAGAGTCGGGCGCAGCTACAAATGTCGTCTTTGAGTCGTCTGGACGAGCATAAGGGCGTCGCTCGTCAGGTGGCGCAAGTGCGGACTGCGTGGCGCGGAGCCGCTCACTCGCTTCCTGCAATCCAGGCTGGTCCTAAAGGCTCGATTATCGCGGTCGCTCGGATTGTGCCTGCGGGGATTGAAGTCCGCGGCGGTTCTGTGCATTATGCAAATTTTGCGACGGCGGTCTGGACCAGGTCCGCTGTAGCGTAATACTAGAGGAAAGCAGGCAGATGCGTCGCAGTGGAGCCAAACACACATACACTTTATTTGCAGTCGCTGGATTGATTCCTCCCGCTGCGGACGACCGTCCCGGACGAAGATGTATGGGATGCCCGCGGGCTGAAATGGGGCACCGGGGCTTGGGTCGACTCACCGTGTAGGTTCCACAGAGTAGGATAGCCTTCAGTTGACGAGCTGCCCCTTCCAATTCAGCAGTAGAGCGAGAGCAACCCGTTAGACAACATTGCTGTCACCCCGAGACATCCGGTCTGCTTGGTCAAACAGACGCGACCCTTGGGTATAAATTGGTACAGGTTTCAATTATATTGTACGGGCAGTAAACATACAAGCGCATTAAGAGCCTGCGCTTTCTGAAGATGTGTTGTGGCAGGAGTATCACTTTGTGCAAGTCCAGTTGCCGTTTATGCCTCGTCGGCGAACGACCTTGTGATGCTCATGGTCGACAAGGCGCAGCTATCGCAGACGCGCGACGCCTTCTTGCTCGAGCTGTACGAGAGCGTCCACCGCCGCTTTGAGCAATTGCCGCAGACGAGCGACCCGCATAATCTGTCCAGCCACAAACAGCAGACAAGTTAGCAAATGGCACCACGAGACGACGACTCCATGTGTCGAATGCAAGCCAGAGACTGCCAGTGCGTCATGTGTCCGTACCTGCAGTGGTGACGGGGCCGATACACCGCAAAGCTGTGCGTACAGATCGTACAGACATTCGAGACCTTGTCGAACATAAAGATCGGCGCCAACGTCGCCGTCTTGAGGCTGCGACGACGCAAGTCCAGCTCGTCTCCCCCCGAGATGCAATGAGTCAACGCACGGACCCATTCATCTCTCTCGACAAGAGCCTGCGCCTCGAACACGTACGTCGTCTGCGTCCGCATCTTCTGTAAACAACGTTAAATGTGAGTGATCATGTTAAAGTGACAGCAACTTGAAGTTATCGACTCACCGTATCCTGCAGGAACTGCAGTCGAAAGCACTTCTCGTTCTGGAGAGGAGCCACCTCGCACAACTCGATAGGAATCGTCTCCTCTGGCTGCGCAGTCTTGAACGTGGAGCCCAGCGAAATCGTTTGCAGTGACAAGGTGATCCACAGACGTCGAGGCTTCTTGCCAACACTAAAGCTTGAAGTCGGACTGGGACTCATGCTTCCCGCAGCTCCTCCAGACACGTTCAGCCATCCATTCTTGATCACAAAACCTCCTTCCAGCTCGTATCCGCTCGAGCACTCGTCGTCGTTGTCTGTCAGTACCTCGGAACGAACACTAGCACGACGCGGGTGTGTCTTGCCACGGAGATTTCGATCAATACACTCGCTAATATCAGTCGTCCACGCCTTCTTCTCACCCTCGGACTCAGTCAACAGGATGAACGACTTGAGTGGGGAATAGAAGCAGAACGCACTGTACAATTTCAACACGAGTCAGTCATAACGCGTTGGTCAACATCAAAAGACAACGGCACTCACTTGTTGGAATTCACGACTGTCGTAATGACTCCAGGCATCATCTCTGTGTCTTCCGCCACTTTGCACTCCCACAGATCGAGCAAGCGGAATTTCTTCTTGTGCAGACCCCCTTGACGTCCATACACCATCGCTAAAAAAAAGTAACAAATCCGATCAGCAACAAGCATAACCCACAACGTATACAGACTTCCTTACCGTCCTCTAGCAGCACAAAGTAGTACGTCTGCACCTTGCTACGACACACTTTGCGCAGCATCCCGTCACGAACAAAGTGTCGACCACTGAGATCAATCCCCACTTTCGCACTTACAGTGGCCAGAGTGCGAGCATTCTCGCGTCTCTCACTGATCTCCTCGATCTTATGGGCGACTCGATCCACACTGCTTATAGCTGACTGCAGCGGCACGTAGTCGACGTGTTCAGGCGGCGTAGATCCCAGCAGCTCTTGCAGCAGCATCTTGTAGCGTGGAATACGCTCCACTGGCATGTTCAGATAACGTCGTAGGCGGTTCACGTCGGCCTCAGGGGGTAATTCCCGTAGAAAGCCCGCAAACTGAGGCGAATCCAACGCAGTTAGAGCACCACTGTGACGGCTAGCGTACGATGTGTAGAGCTGCATCAACGGAGCATATGCGTGGAAGATCGCGCCAGCACGGTGCACTCGTACGCCTGGAAACTCAGGAGATTCACCCTTCTTCTGGCCATTCTCAGCATTCGGCGGTTGTGTCGAAGTCGTGGTTTCTTCAAGATGACGCGACAAATGGTCCAGAAGCTGCTGGTTGAGCGTGTAGATCTGGTCCACGCTGCTGAAAAAGATGGACAGATCGGCGTCCATGACCAGCATCTTGGGGGCCTGAGTTGACGCAGAGTTCGCTGCTGCTGCTGCAACACCATACGAGGTCGTTAGTAGTGTACAAGCTAGTGTTTTTAACACTTTCGTCTGACGTACCTGGGCCGATATTGCCGCTGCTTCCCGCTCGACGACGGATTCGACTTGGAACTGCAGACCCGCTCGAAGTATTAACTGTTCCAAGTACAGGGCGCATGGATCCTCTGCGTTTATTCTGGCGACGACGGTACATCTGACGTCCCTCAAGCTGACGTAGCAGCAGCGGCTGAACAAACAGGCGAATACACTCGCCCAAACACTGAACGTAGCTCTCCTCCGAGCGGATAACCTCTTTCAGAATCTGACGACGTCGACGTTCCAGTAAAAACGCCTCGCGATCATCTCCTGCGGCCTGAGCCATCTCCATCGACAGCTCCGCATCTGTGGCACGTCCGCGATCAAGAGAAGACAAGCGACGTCGTTCAGGAGCGCCGATAAACGATCCAGTGGTTATCACAGACATCGACGCTCGCACGTTGGTTGGAGGCAGACTCATACTCAAACTCAAAATGCCGCTTTGAGCCAATGAACCAGGGAAATCCGTCACGCGCGAGCGTCGCATGCGGTGCAGCGCCTTGTCGGCCGAGCTCTGGATCGCCACACGCCACGCCACTTCCTCTTGGATAGTTGTAGCACACAATATCCACTCGGTCTCCTGCATGGCCGCCGCGTTCGAAGACGACGACGACGTTGGGGACGACGATGGAGCAGGAACGAGCGGAGGTGGCGAAACCAGCGGCATCGCACCTTCAGCAGAGACTCCGGGTGGGAGTGCAGACTCTCGACGACGAGATACAGCGTCATTCAAGCGACTGACAGCTAGCTTCAACGGCGAGAGCTTGCTCCTGTTTTGTCGGACAGCAATTTGACTTAAACGTCTCTGCATGGGGCTCCCTTTGAGCGCGTTCGCTCCATTGGCGCCTGCTTTGTTCTTGGGATCCGTCTCATCGTACTCGGTCGTCGAAATCTGGAAGCAAAAGCGGTTCTTGTGTGCTCGACTATCCGATCGATGGATGACGATGGCTCCGGCAAGATTCAGCTCGTCGGTGCAGCACCGTGACGTATTGCTGTTCGTCAGAGCGCTCCCGCTACTTCCGGAACTAGTAAGTCCTGCCGCGTTCCCGTTCTGATCTGCGCTAGCTGCACCTGTATCCACCGTGAACTGCTTGAGTACACCTGCTCGAAGCTCATAATAATGCTCACTCCACTTGTTAAAGCGTCGACGTCGCAGCACGCCACGAAACTCTACAACTCGAGACAACCAATGCATTGCAATTTGACGCACAAGATCCAGCACCTTGAAGCACGGTTTGCACACACGCTCGGTACGAGAAGACTCGCCAACAAACAACGGTGCACGTCCAGACGAGCAGGTGTCACAAACGACCGCTCCACAGCGACGACAGTGGTGTTTTCTTCGATAATACGCACGGAAAGAAGCCTTGCAATTGATGCAGGACTCAGCCATCTCGTCAGGAACCCACAGAGCTGCAGCGTCCGCAGGACCTTCGCACGATTCGAGGTTGTTACCCTCGCCATCAGCTTCATCTCCCGTCCCAGCTTTCTTCTGCTTCTGAGCTTCTTTGACAGCACTTGCAATGGCGTCTACCCACTCGCGCTGTGCCTCTGGGGTCTCTGTGAACAAGATAAACGTTTTCTCTCGACTGGTAACAACGAAGCCGCAGTCCTTACGACGCTTAGCCTGCTGATCAAACAGAGCTTGAACAGGAGCAGGTAACTCGGTCTTGACGCCCACAGCCTTGGACTGTAAGTGGACAATGCGTCGCACCCGGTAGCCGCCATTGATCAGCACATTACTGTACAGTAAAATGTCGTTAAACAAGTGAATCATCACGTCTTCTTGTCTCTTGGTGGACATTTTGATGAGTTTTCCTGATTTCAGCAGTCTCCTGTCCGCTGTAAACAGCGAGAGTTGGCCAGAGAACTTCTGCTGAGCTTGTAGCACAGTCTCGAGGTTCTCCTGACGCCGCACAGTCTCATTGATGCCAGATGCGACGGTGCGTACGCGACTCACTGCCTCAGTAAGGAACGATGCGTCTGGATGTTCTGGTGGCGTGAGCTCGCACAGTCTCTCAAGCAGCAACTTGTAGCGAGGGATACGCTGGATCGGCATGATCAACAAGCTCTCGAACGGTTTGGACGAGCCGCTTTTCTCTCGACAGGAATCGAGGAATTGCGAGAAGCCCAGACGCGTATCACGTCGGAAGTTCTGCAGTAGTGCTGCCACTTCCTCGTAGTCCTTGGCGTAGTCTCCGTACAGCTTGAACAGTGGCGCATAGCGACAGAATATAGCGCCCACTCCTGCTGCCTCGCTCTGAACTGCGACGGGCATAGAACTTTTAAAGCTGTTCGTGCGTGTCAAACCCTTAGTAGCTTCTCCGATCCTCTTCTCCGCTACGCTTTTGAAGCTGCTCGTGCGTGTCAAACCCTTAGTAGCTTCTCCGATCCTCTTCTCCGCTACGCTTTTGAAGCTTTTCGTGCGGCTCAAACTCTTCGGCGCAGCTTCGGTCTTTGTCTCTCCAGCTCGTCGTTGTCGAATCTCCTCTAGATCTTCCAGTAACTTCGAGTTGAGCATGACCAGATGTCTCAAGTTGTTGAAGAAGACAGCGATCTGTGCGTCCTCCATGATGCGGTACGTCTTGTCCTCTAGAGCTACGATATAGTGGTCGTTGAGCGTACAGATGTCGGTCACATAACTTTTCTCGGTCTCACAGATCTCTTCGATGACGAGCGCGCGCAGTCTCGCCTGCTTGGCCTCTGGAGAGTCCGGATCCACGTCAATATTTTCCTCCTGGTTATCCTCTGCATTGTCCGCTTCCTCATCGTCCTCAATGTCCACCTGATTGTCCTCTACCAGCTCGACGTCCAACGAAGAGGTCCAATCATCTGCGCTGCTGGCCACCAGGTCTTTCGGATCGAATAGTACTATTCCAGGACGCAGAGTTACCTTCTTGCGCGAAGGTTTGGCATCCCCGCGTCGGCGTCGCGGCGCACGTGAAGTCTCGACCACCGTCTGTTGCTGGCTGCTCATGGACGTGTAACTTACGAGAATGAAGACGCTGGCGCCTTTCCGCGCTGCTGCCTCGCACGGGCAGCTCAAGCCGCGTACTGAACACCAGTGCGACCGGCGGTTCCGTGGACGTTATTTCGATATTCTACAGAAAAATGGCCAGATCGGTGGCGCCGTGGATGTATTGGGCTTCAGTATGATCGGATAAGCAAGGGTATATATTTTTAGATAGATTGAGGTGTGGGAGTTTTGCTCGGCTTGGAAAGTGTAACATGCTGCGTTTATGCAGAGTATGCGATTTCGATCACTGACGTGGCGATGTTGAAGTCGGAAAGTAGACGAAGCGAGGCGACATCAAGAAGATCACAGCTTATCGTCATCCAGGAGAGATGACCCGTTTTGGCTCGGACAGCGGAGTAGCCGTTCTGACTACTGCACTGCAACTCGCTGGCGCTCCCAAGGCTGATAGTTCACGATGAGACCTTCCTCGTCAAGCCCAAAAGATCTTTTGCAGCCCTGTCCATTGCGACGCTCATTTGTTCTAATGCCACTTGTTGAGGCTGCCGTATTCGATTTTAGCATCGGCGCTGACCATCGCAGCATCGAACGAGGGAGAAGCACAGCGGCGAGGACTTGTACGGAGCAATATCCAGGGCAACTTGAGAACTTTTGCGTAATGTGAGGCGGTGCTCACCACGTAGGACGAAATTACTCGCGCAATTAGCGGCACAGGCTGCGTCGGCTTCCTATAGATTCTAGAGAACTCTTTTAGTGTCATAATTACGGAACACCTAGCACTACCAGTTCGATGGCATGTGTTCCGGTGCACTGCCGTAGTAAGCGACATATACAATAATTGCATTAGCGCAGGAATCAACAGCCTCACGAAGAAACCGTAAGTGAGGGACCCTTTACCAGGAAACACAGTACAAGGCACACAAACTCGTTTCATTTCACCCGCGCACATCTCTTTGCCTTTACTGTCGCTTAATGAGCAAATGACACCGGTTTCTTCAGTTTACGTGCTCGCCTCCTCTATTCAACCTTGGTGGTCTTCTTGGAAGGAGTCTCAGCAAGGCGCTTGAGCGTCAAGTGGCCGGACCAGAGGTTCACAGAGCCCAGAATGCTGAGATAGCCCAAGGTGCGGAACATGGTCAGCTCCAGCCAGTACAAGCCGAAAAGAGCAAAGATGCCGCCCAGAGATGCCAGGAACACGCAGCCAAAAACGAACACAGAGCCTTCGAACAGGCGCTTGACGTTGAGTCCAAGACGCGCCACAAACACCAGGAACAAGGCCAACGGGGCCAGAACGGCGCCCATGAAGGCCAGAGACACGACCACAGGCGGCCGCGGGTCCTGCTCGCGCATGACGTGCTTAATTTCGGGCAGAGCCTGGAGCGTCGTGTCGCTCTCGTACAGCAGGTGCTTCTTGTAGAGCGGCGAGGGCGTCTCAGGCGGGGCCGCGCCAAGCTGCAGCTCCACGTTGCCCAGGTCCCACACAATGGCCTTCTCGAACGTAGAGGCGCCCAGAATGAGCTCCACATGGTGCTTGCCCGAGTTGTAGCCGAACTTCTTGCTTAGTGCTGCAAATTTCAGCGTCGTGCTGTGGGTCAGGCTAGTGTCGGCAGTCAGTACAAAGTACGTGTCCGTCTTCTCCGTAGCGTGCGTGAAGCGGAGGAACGCCTGGTGCGCCGCCACGGGCGTCTTGTCGTGTACCTGTTGCAGCTTCACCTCCATCTTGAGCGTATCCTCCGCAGCAGCGTTGAAGTTCTGACCCGTGAGCTTGTCGCCCAGCTTGAGCTTCTTACCGTTAGCAGTAGCGCTCGCAACCTCCACAGGCGTCGTCACCTTGAGCTGAAGCACCTCGTAGGCGCTCTGCTTAGTCTCCTCGTCCACTGCCGACACCTTAAGCTTGTACATGCCAGCCTGCAGCTTCTGGTCGCCCGCCAGTTTTGTCACGAACTTGCTGCCATCACCTTTGAGCGTCTGCACCGCGATGTCCACATAGAAATCAGTGAAAACTACAGACTACATGCTATCTTTATTCGTGACTGCAACGCACCAGTCCAGAGAGCACAGCAGCACCCGTTGTGTCCACGAGCGTCTCCAGCGTGAGCTGTTTGAGCTTGGGTTGCTTGGGTGTCACCAGGACGGCCACCTCCAGCGCATCGGACGTTAGCGCCACGCGGGAAGAGGCCAGCTTCATGTTAACGTTGAGAGCGGCATCCACCGAAAGCGACACCAGCAGCAGCACGGCACCGCATGCGGCCAGCAGCCGAGTCGAGAGCGCCATCGTCAGTCTCTCTTCCTTCAGAATTGACCGCGTGGCAGCAAGATATGACGAGCACAAGGATTTCCACCAATGGGGTACATCCACGCTTTTAGTCTCTGCTTTAGCATTTTTTGCGAAGTTTTAGCTTTTGACAAATCAGAACGTGTTGATCCAACAAAATAAGTCATTCAAAAAAGGAAAAGCTGAGCGGAAAAGCGCTTTTCTCAAAATGTTCTAATACTCGCAAACTAAGAAAAAGTGTTTTCTTCCTTGAAACTTCAACTTTTTACAAACGACCTACTTGCCGCCACATGCATAATACAAGCCTCACTTGCCTCACGTGTACGCTTCGAACTCGTCGATCCACTCGTGGATCATTTTAATCTCAGTCTTGCGCGCGGATATGACCGACGGTGGGTCCTTTGGGTGGCTGAAAAACAGATCCAGGTGGTGAGCGCCCTCGGCAATTTCAACGATCGTCACCTTTGAGTCCTTGGGGGCGTGTAGGACACCGGCACTGCTCCACGGATCCAGCAGTCCATTACTGAAGACGATGTTGGACGCTGATCGCAGCATATCGTCGCCATAGCTCACGCGGATCCCATCCGGGTCGGGTGTCGTGTGCCAGTCGCGTTGGCAATGCGCTCGGATCTCCTCAAACGTGGTGTTACGCGACCAGAACATGTCCGTCTTGCCGTTCGTGGTGAAGTACGTCTCCTGTGGTAGCATCTCAGTGCAGTATTGGTAGTCCCAGATACCGTCATAGTCCCACAAAGTAGGAATCTTAAAGCAGGTCAAGTCCCCAGTCGCGTTGTGGAACACGTTGGCGGCATCTCGAAGTGCCTCCAACAGCGTCGTATCCACACCTTCCTGTCTGAAAGTTGACGTTGAGAAGTCGCCAGCCAAATATGAGCAGGCTTCGCGTACAGGCCATGCAGGAAGCTCCACTGCACCTCCTGTAAGGTAGCTGGACGGATACGGAAAATCGCCCATTGCCAATGTGTCGAAGGCAAACAATACCGACATGGCCAAGTCCTCGCCCTGTTCCTCTTTTGTCAACGGCTCACATAGTCTGAAAACTGAAGACAACGTGGAGCGTCCACTCTCCGTCTTGGCAAGTTCAAATATTTGTGGCCACGATTTCTGGGCGTTTAGCACACAATTCTTCGCTGATCCTGCAGCTGGAGATGCATCTCTGGTCACCACTTGCCAGTACTTCTGGCCGTCGAAAGCAGGGAAACCACCGAAGCCGTAGATTGGAGCCGACGCGGCGATAGCACCCGCGATAATGCCTGGATATTTCATGCGGAACCAAGCTGAGAGCATACCTCCATAGCTCCCACCGAATGCGATGACTGGGTGATTGAAGGCGTCGTGCTTCTTCTGTAGATGATAAATAAGTTCCGTGTAGTCGGCGAGTGCTTGGTCATGACTAAGATAGCCCAGATGGTCCATGTATTTGTCCCCGAACGGGAAGCTTTTGCCATAATAGCGGTGCTCAGCAAACACAACAAGAGCTTTGAAAGCCTGTGCGTTCTCCCAGATGAGTCCAGTGTGGTTGGCATACAGCGTCACGTCGCCTTCGTTGCCCGTGTAGAAAAACACGGGTGCTTTCTTGTCCTTCGGGTCCCAGAACTGTGTATTTAGCAAGTATCGCTGCTTGTAGGTTGCTGGTAGACCACTAGGCGGGGCGTTGGGATCAGCATTATCCACTGCCTCCGCTGGGAGCCACGAGAAGTGGTCGATGCGCTGCTCGATCCAGAGTTCCGAGCAATTAGTGGCATCTGCGCGGATCTGAGGCGCCACGGGCGTTGCAATGGGTTTGATTGTGCCCAATGAGCTGCGCGGGAGGTCTGCCGTGGTGACGAGGTGTTGCGTGTGGATCAGCACGAGCACGCCGATGAGCAGCGCGAGTCCGCCGAACGCCACGACGCTGGCTGGCGCATAGTTGAACACTGAACAGGAGGGTTAGTATCAGTGAGAAGCGCTAATACAACAAGAACAAGATAGCTAGCTACGCACGGGTATTGTAGATAGTCTCGTAGGACTGCGGCGCGTTGAGACTCTGCCAGCGGTTGATACGCACGCGTCTGGAGCTGGTCGTCGAGCCAGCGGATGAGCCCACGGAGCGCGCGAGCAGCGGACGTGCCTCTCCCATGCCCATGATGTCCGAGTGAGGCTCCTGAGTTAATAATGCCCTTGTGACACTCATACACCGCCGGTGTCGGTGCCAATACAAAATGACTGGCAAAGGTCTCAGTGAGGTCACTCCGCGATCTATCTGAGCAAGCTCCGCCTAATGCTTCGAATTTCTGAGTTGTGCCTCGGCTATGCTAAATTGTGTATTACACACAGTGAGGGACGCTCCAGACGTGTTTGGGACACCATCTGGAGCGTATACTATACGTCGTATAGTGAGTCTCACAAGCTACATAGGACACGAACCGCACCTTAGCTCGCGATCAAAGCAGGTTCAAGCTTGCCAATCTCCGCGTGACATCTGCGGCGTTCCGAGCTCGTTCCAACTCATTTCCACTCCCCCCAGTCGCCGGCCACGTGACGAGAGCATGCACTACAAAACGCACATGCCGGCGCGGTTCTCCATCGATGACCAGATGGCCGAGGTGCGGCGCCTCACTCGACACTTGTAGAAGAATTCCCTGATATGTCCTGACCTCTCTTGTTCTTCTCGACTGCAGGCGCTGGCATCGCAGGAGCTCATGGGCAGCCGCCAGCGAAAGAACTTCCTCAAGCTTTTCCGCAAATACTCTAAGGTCAAGAAGACCTCCATCGACTGGTATGGCCTAACAGTCCGTCATTAAAAAGGGTTGGAGCACTTACCATAGTGCTGTATTGCTATTGCTACTGCAGGAACTCAGTGAAGCCACCGACTAATGGCATGCTGACGAGCAACTCGTCGGTGGAAAGCTGCCCTAACGACATGAACCTTCGTCACGAGCTGTTGGACAAGCTGGTATACTCTGATTACGTGGCTTTTAACGTGGTAATGACGATGCAGGAGTAATATTGATTGTTTTGCATGTTTGCACAGGTCATTTTGAAACTCAATGGCGGGCTCGGTACGACGCTGGGCTGCGAAGGACCCAAGAGCGCGATCGAAGTGCGCCAGGACCTGTCCTTCCTTGATCTTACTGTGCGCCAAGTGGAGGTATGCAGGTTTTTGCACTATGGACTGCATTTGTGATGCTAATATGCTTGCTGCAATAGTATTTGAACAGCGTGTACGGTGTGGACGTGCCGCTGGTGTTCATGAACTCGTTCAACACCCACGAGGAGACTGTACGCATCATCCGCAAGTACCGTATGCACAATCTGAGCATTCACACGTTCAACCAGAGCTGTTACCCGTTCATCATCAAGGAGACGATGTTGCCGCTGCCGAACACTAAGTATGACCGCTCTACACGCGAGAAGTGGTTCCCACCTGGCCACGGTGACGTTTACAATGCATTGTTTGAGTCCGGATTGCTGGAAAATCTAATTAACCAAGGCAAGGAGTACATCTTCATCTCGAACGTGGACAATCTTGGCGCCACAGTGAACCTGGACATGCTCTACCACATGATCAACGAGGACTCTGAGTTTGTGATGGAGGTGACCGAGAAGACCCGCGCTGATGTCCAGGGAGGCACACTGGTGAGCTACAAGGACAAGCCTCATCTCCTAGAAGCCAGCCAGGTGCCACCGGGCCATTTGGACGACTTCCGAGCCATCAACAAGTTCGAGACGTTCAACACAAACAACCTGTGGGTCAATCTACGCGCAATCCAGAGGCTGGTAGCTCAAGATCTCATCGACATGGAGCCTCTCGTGACTTTCCGCACTGTAAGGAACCACAAGGTTGTGCAGCTGGAGACAGCAGCAGGTGAGGCGATCCACCTTTTTAAGAACTTCATCGGACTTAAGGTGCCTCGCTCGCGTTTCCTGCCGGTCAAGTCCTCGTCGGATCTCTTCCTCGTGCAGTCAAATCTGTACCAGATTAAGCACGGTAGTCTGATCATGAACCCGGCACGAACCACACCTACGATCCCCATCGTGAAGCTTGGGCTAGAGTTTCAGAGCGCAAAGGAGTACCTGGCACGCTTCGAGCACGGCATCCCGAACATCACGGAGCTAGACCACCTCACAGTCGCCGGCGACGTCAAGTTCGGGTCCAATATCACACTCAAGGTAAGTTCCATTCAACCTGTGGATTGCTATAGAATTAATGCTCATCATGGTATGCTGTACGTTGTAGGGAACGGTGATTCTTGTAGCGAATGAAGGTGCTCACATTGATCTGCCGGACGGAACGGTGCTAGAAAACAAGGTGGTGACTGGCAATCTGCGCATCTTGGATCACTAAGCGCAGAGAAGGACCGAGAATAAAGAGTGTGCGTATTTGTACTTGATGCGCTGGAGGCAGAGGAGACTGTAGGCGATGAATACATGCAAATGCCTTGCCCCCATAACTTTTTTCTGTTATACAATGAGATTACATTCCTAGCTTTCGTATGCGAAAGCTCCCAATTTGTCCAATGCCTAATAGACGGCAACGACGTGCTTGCAGATCGGGCATTGGCGGTGACACATGAGCCACTGGTCGATGCACTCGCGGTGGTAGAAGTGCAGACACGGAAGTGCGCGCACTTCTTCCTCCGCTTCGAACTCATCACAGCACACTGCACACACCGTGTTGTTAACCTCGCTGTCCTCTTCCGCGTGGTTTTCCTCGACGTGTTCGCGGATTTGGTACTTGAACGTCGGAAGCGCAATGATCTGCGGGTATGGGAGGCCATCCCAGCTCTCAGTCTGCAACAATCAAAGAGAAAAATTAGCGAAGACAGATACAACGAAAAAATGTTACGATAACTTACATCAACTTGCTGCGAGCGTAGCTCGTTGATGCGCCGTAGCAGTGACAGGAAGCGCAGTTTGCTCTGGCCCTCCGCGGCATTATCTACAGCCTCGTCCGTAGCTGAAGTTGAAGTGGTTCCGAGCAAGTTGAGGTGGCGCCGCACCAGTGAGAAGAGTTTGTTGTCACTCTCCACAGCGTCAACATCCACTGCCGGCTCCTCACAAACTGATCCTCTGGAAGTAGGGAGAGACCCCAGCAGTTGACGAAGTGCTGCATTCACCACACTACACACAATAGTGAGAGCAGGAACAGATTAAGGCACCGACATCACATCAACTTACAGCGAAGGTTGTGTCTCCGTATCCGCCTCAGTTGACGCTTGACGAAGCGAGCGGATGAAGGCCAAGTCCAGCTCTCCGTTGACTGGCGGCATGTTCTGCGAATTGTTATTAGCCTCGTCGATGTCTGCGGCAGCGATCGAAATGAGGCCAGCAGGCGACAGTTGCGCGTTCACAGGAGAGTCCATGTCCTCCACACGCAGGTTGTCCATATCGTCTAATGCCATGCCGTCAGGTCCTAGCAGAGCTGCCAACTGCGACGACAGCGTCGGGATCGAGAGGCGGCGACTCGCGTGCTCATCTCCAGCCAGAGCAGCAGCTAGCACGCTGTTCTTCTTCTTGCCCTCGTCCTCGGGCTCGACGTCCGACGTGTCCGCTTCCTCCATGGCACGCGCAATTTCCTGAGAGCTGGCAGTATCTTCTTCCCAGTAGCTGGAGGCTTGTGGGTCCACGCGCGGCTGCAACAAAAACAGAAAAGGTTTAGTAATGATACATCATTTGTGTCGAGGCTGTGGAGCGCGTACGTGGAGCGTTTGGGGCATGCGCGAGCCGTACAGCGATCGGAGGAACATGTTGGGGCTGGAGAGAAGATATGGATCTAACTGCAAGGTGTGGATCTCTCAATACCAGCGACTAGACGCGAGCGTCTTCTCCCGTTATTTCTTCTGCTTGAATGAAGAAAAATACTCCATGCTGCTGATGGCTCATCTGAATGTGGTAATTTAACTTGTTTCTAGTATGCAAAGATTGATCCGTGTAACTTTTGTGACCTGTTTTGTAGGTTTTTGTCCTACCCATTAAACCCTCCATTCATCATAGTATATTCATTATAACAGGTCAATGATCCGTATTTGTCAACAAGTGTAGCCATCTGACGAAATCATGGCGATCTACCGTGTCGGCTCCATCGGATCGAAGTGGTACGTCGCTAGCGACGCCGGAGCAAGGTAATCCGACGTGATGTCATTGTCCAAAGTTTCGAGTGCAGTTGTCTCTTGTCTCCTCTTGAATTCCAGCCGGCTGTAGCTCTTGATCAACGCGTGGAAGGCCTTTAGCCATTGTGGCGGACTCAGCAGTTCAGTCCGCCCACCTTCCTTGCTGCCACTTGGAGAGAATGAGAAGAGTAGATCGATATACTTTTGCACGTACTGATTCAGACGCGGAAGTCCCATGTCGTCATCTGCCAGCGGTTGCAACAGTGAGGTATCGTTCAAGACGTCGTCTGCGCTGATATCCGAGTCCAATGCGTCCAGAAGATTCTCCAACAGCGCCTCTGGTCGTCCATCAGTTGTGGCAGTACGTCTAGAAACCACGACTACGCTGTGTGAAGGATCCAAGTTGAACACCCGCCGTTCCTTGCTTAGATTCGCTGCACTAAGCGCGTCACGCATGCGGCAGGACCCAACGGTACTAGCACGCAAAGATCGGAACAGAGTCGTTAAGCGCGTCTCTAGCGACTTGCAGTATGTTACTGTTGCTGAGCGTAAGGGTCCAGATCCCTGCGTCTTCATCGAAACATGCAAGATCTCGTCGGGTGCTGGAACAACATACACCACTAACGGGACACAGCGACCAGGAGCAAAAGCATTCCCACCTCCACTCGAAGACGACGAGCTCTTCGAGTGGTTGCTATCGCGCTTGGAATGCTTGGTCGACGTCGGTACAAAACTCTGCAGCTGAGCCTTCTCCATAGCCATTGTACGAACCTCTTTCAGTACGTTCGTTGTGACTCGTGCATCTTCCTTCATCACTATTAGCATATTGCAGCTGGAGTAGAGCAGCACTTGCATCTTAAGCTTTTCACGCTCAAACGTATCCATCTCGTTGCGAATCCGTTGCGTCTCATTTAGTGGCGACTGCTCATCAACTTCGTCTCCAGTCGTCGATTGTCTTCGAGCCGACGGTTTGTTCCTGTTACTGCTATTTGGCGTCCCCATTTTGGTTGCTTGTGGACTGTAGCACACACTGTCAGGCCGTACCAAACCCAGTAGATAGATGCATCTTGCCACGTCGTCGTAGTAGAGGTGAACACTTGCTGGCAGTCTGACATCCTTCACTGTCGTCGCGTTTTGCATTTCGTCATCTCGAAACACGTTGCGCCCGATGACACGGTTGGCAAAGGCGAAAGTGTGCGAGGAAGACGATGAACTGGTGCTAAGAAATCCAACGACTGCCACGTTCTTGTTTTGTAGCGACTGCAGCGCGGCAAGTGGGGAGCTACGACCAAGCTCGGGGGGATAGACACGAATAGGTTCATTTAGACTGCGGTCGAAGGGCAGCGGCGGCGGTGCGTGGCGCGAAGACGAGGAAGAAGACGCGGACTGCCGCCCGCCATTGCGGCCTCCAGGCATGCTTCCGATAGACAGCGAAAAAGTGATTTAGTCTCAATAGAGTTTACCTATTTTTAGTACTACACAAAAAACGTATGTGATATATCAATAAGCACTTCAACTTGTATGTTATTATTGCCTCTCACGAGCCCTACGCTTTGCGATATCCTGCCGTAGGCGCTCTTGGAACGGAGCGGACAGAGCGAAGTGCTTTTTAGCCTTTACGGAGGCATTGCGTCGCTCAAACTCGCGCTCTCTTTTGGCAGCAGCTTCGGCTCGGGCTGCCAGTTGCTCATGTCGAAGGCGACGCTCGTCCAGATCCCGTCGGTATCGCTCTTCAAAGTCTCCCAGTTCCAACTGCTCCACCATGAGCAATTTACATCCAATGAGACCATTGTCATTTGAATTTTGAGGATTGCATTGCATACCTGTTGCGCTCTACGCGTAATGGAGGGCGAGAAGGAGCATTCGCGTTGGATCTCCTCCCAAATAGCCGCTCGAGACATCTCACGGTATTCCAGATCCAGTTGCAGACGTCCCAGGAATTCATCGCGAATATCTTCCCATGTTTTCTTTGTGTCTTCACTATCGTCCTCAAGCTTACAATTCTGCAGCTCTTGGCGCTCAAATTCTTCTTGTTTCTCACGCTGTCTGTCCTTGCATTGCTGCTGAAATTCCTCCATTCGTGTCAAGAAATCCTTCGCAACGTCACTCTACAATTCGTGACGCTATTAGTCACAGAAGGAAATATAAATTAGCATCACAGCAACTCACCCAAGCGATTCGGCTCTTGTACGTGACACCACAATTCGGACATTTCTTTCGCTTCTGCGTCAGTTCCGAGTAGGATTGCGGATTGCCGCAGCTAGGGCATTCCTTCTTGTCCACACGATCCAGGTAGGCAGCCTCTTCTCGTGTTCGGCGGAGCTGTTCCCGACGAGCTCGTTCTGCAGCCTCCATACGTCGTATAAAATCTTCGTTCCGTCTACTGGTGGCGTCTCTACTCTCTCCTCGATCGTCTTCATCGTCAGAGTCGTTTTTTGGTGTCTTTTTGATGCTACTGTGGTGCAACCGTGGGGTGAATCGACAATGGCGATTGTCATCCAAACGCGCGAACTCACGGCGTGGCTTACGTTGCTGGCGAGCTCGTGTGAATTTGTCTTTGGCAAGTTCATTAAGCGCCTCCCTGTTAGCCACCCGCTTCTTCGGTTTGGTACTGTTGGTATTCCCTGCTTGGGCTATCGAGGCGAGAAAGAGACGTCTCTGGGTTAGTGACAAATGCTGGAACTGGAATGCGCTCAGCTTATCTTGCATCGCCCGTTGCAACTCGAGCTTCGTCATAGATGTACTCGAAGTTGCACCTTTTAAAGGCTTTGAGCGGCTTCGAATAGGTGAGCGATGACCCACTGACTTCTCCTTTGCAACACTAGCAGCAAGTGTTTCTGCCGCTACACGGACACTTGCAGCGTCGTCTTCAAACTCCTCGTTCTCGTATTGCTGCTGCTGTTCTGCTACAGAAACCTTCAAACCAGTCGCGACCTGCTGGTTGCGCTGCGCTATCCGTTCGGCTCTGACCTCAGAACTAGCCGCATCCAGAGCGCGTTGAACCTTGTCCGCTTGAACCTTCATCATCTCTCGTTCCTCTTGGTTCATTTCGGCGGCTAGTGTTGCTAACGATGGCTTCGGGCGGTCATGCTCTTCAACTTCGAGACTTTTAGCGACCTCCATTAACGATGGTGTGGCAGACGCGGCTTCTTGTTTGGCCACCTCTAAAAGCGTTGGAGCCTTCTTTGGTGACTCCTGTTCGTCGCCGCTGTCAGCGAACATATCTTCATCGTCCTCATCAACTTCATCGGGGGCCGTTTCCTTCTCCTTTTGCGATACATGAGCTTCATTCTCCTGCTTTTCGTCACCAAGACCCTGCACAAATGCCATTAATGCCGACGCCATGGTTGGAGCTTTGAAATGCAAATTTGAATGTGAGAAGAGTTCATCGAGATTTTATGCATTTGCATCATCCCATGCCTCGGAATAGGATTCGACATTCCAGAATACGAGGCTGTGCATTGGTATATTTGCCACGCCGACTTTGCGAAGTGTTGAAGGGGGGACAAACATATCTTTGACCATGTGCAAGCACATTCCCAATGCCCAGGTATGTATTTCCTTGTTGTAAAGCTAATGGCACTCCGTGCTCATAGTATTGAGGAGCAGGTTTCCTTTCAGGCCCCATGTTGCCACCGATGGTTCGATTGCAGTGAATGCCACTTCGAATTGAGTGATCACCGACAGCAATCGGCCACCGAAATGGCTTTCATTTGCAAACAATGCCGCAAGCCTTTCCGAAAAGACTTGACGGCTTTCGATGTAGAAGACGAGAGCTGCCCACATTGCGGCAATGGACTGATCCAGCCCACTGAAGATGGTATCGATTCACGAGCATCGACTCCAGCAGAAACCAATCCAGCGACAAATCCCTCCTAGGCAGTAGACACTGCAATAATTAAAGCAATCGTTATCATGCTGATGTCATTGGCAATAGTTATCTCTCGGTACTCAACACGAATCATGAAGTTCGCCATCCGATATCTCGGTGGACTAAAGCATTCACGAAAGCTCATAGCTTTTGCTGCTCGCATCCAGGCGACTCCATGGATAAGCGCCACGCTGACGTGGACCTGAGTCACTACGAGCACTGCTCGCTGAAATCCAGTCCCTGCCAAGTCCACCGCTGTCGAATTCAGTGACAGACTGCTACGGATACCTTGCCTGATTACAGTTTTGTCCAGCAGCATTGCTCTTGCCGACGACATGGCCATTAGCTCGCAGCTGATCAAGCAAGCGTGGGCCGCACACAAACCGCCAATGCTGCTTGGTGTTGACCGTTCCAACACCGAGATAGTTCATTGTCAGTTGTGTGAGCGAAATGACCCAACAACTGGGGCGTTAGTGTTGTGTGCCATGGCAAACAGACCACAACAGGAACACTTGTCAAGACTTCGCCGCTGTTCACATGCAGATGAGCTCCCGAACGGTAACTACAGAGCGAAGCAGCCCCCGGTCGCAGCTTCCAAACGATAAATCCAGGACAACGTAACACGAATACGTTCGCCAGTGCTGCGACGCGGGTATCGTGAGTCCATGCACTGCAAGTCCAGCTTCCGAAGCATTTACTGCTGTACTGCACCCCAAGTCCACTGCGACGGGGTCATGCACGATGCTCGCTACACGAATCCGGGACGAGGAATTCGTAATCGTCCAACCAGAACAGCACGCCAGCGATCGCGCACGGTCCCGTAGGCTCTGATTGCTTGGCCGGCATTCGCTCGGTTGTCACTCACCTCGATGGTGAGCAAGCTGCGTGATTTCCTCATCGCTCATGGTCCCACAGTGAATCGCGCCGACGCTGAAATGCGCGGGAACTCGACGCTGATGGAGCTGGTCAATTCTATGATAGCGCAGGGCCTGTCTGTTGCCACCCGCTGTCAAGCGCAACCCACTTGCATTGCAGCTGCCTACGCTTCAATCGAGCAGGTCCCCATTTAGGATTTTGCATTCAACGTAGTACGCAGTCGATCGCCATGCTTGACTCCATTTCGCTAACAGAGGAGGAGCTGGGGATGTTGTTTGGCCCAGCCTCACGTGGGGTCGATAGCAGCTCCACGCCCCGTGCTGCTGCTAATAACAGAAAGTCGCCTCGCAATGCACATAATAAACGTGCAGCAGCCAAAATGAAGACCAAGACAGCGAGTGCCAACAAGTTCTGCGCCACACTCATCAGCAGCGTAGACGCGGTCGTGCCTGCTCGCTGCGGCTACCGGACCGGAAAGTGTCAGAATCTGCAGACCATCAAACGCAACGGAAAGCTACACAAACTCTGCGAGTTCCATCGTGAGCGAGCCAATCTGAACCAGAAGAAGCTGGATCGTAAGAAGCGAATGCAGCGCTCCAAACTGGCAGGAGTGGCTTCATCGTCCTGTGGATCCATTTCGTCCGCTTCGTCCGTCGTCTCCGAGGACGACGACTGCAGTCTCGACTTGGAGGATCGTTCGCCACGCACCGTCGAGGCAGCGGTGACCAGCAGCGTAATTATCAAGGCGGAGCTCAAGACGGAGGCAAAGACAGAGCCCAACGAGTTCGACGTGGAGCTATTCTTGCCTACCAGCCTCCAGGAGGCCCCGCTGGTGCTCGGCTACGAGGAGCTTGCTATCTTCTGCAGCCTCATGACTTTCGACGTCAACCACCGAGCGCCGTCAAGCCGATACGCGCCAGTCCGCACAGATTCGTGTCATCACCCCACGAGCACGGTGTGATGTGGTTGTGGTGCATCAAGATACTTTATTAGATCATCACTAAGTTTCCTAGTGTATTTGTAGTTGCCAAGACGAACGTAGCGAATAAAATGGAAATATTGTCGTCTCAAAAGTTTTGATCCACACAGTTTGCCATATTGACAAGCATCACCCAACATTATTTTGTGTCCACAAATGCCGCTTCAACTTCGACATGCCTGCAATCCTTGCAGTGCAAGGATTGCAAAGCTCGTTCGTGCTTTTACCTCAAATCGCTACGTTTTATCCAAAGCTCTGCTAAGCCTCACGTCAAAGTGACCGTCATTCTGGAAATCTCCATCTCAGACGGATCACAATGGTCGAGCTGCTCTCGTGGGTCAACCTGGCGCTTTACGCGCTGCAGCTCTTCGTGAATGGGTTCTCGGCGCACAACATCGGGCCCATGTCGCGTCGCTATGAGACGCTCATCACGCCGGCGCCCTACGCGTTCAGCATCTGGGGCTTCATCTACACTTTCCTGGCCGCCACTGTCGTCGTGGACTGCTTCTGGCCCTCAGTCTCCTTCTACACAAGCGCCCCCAATGCCAACGTGCTGCGCACGCTCTTTGCTGTCTCCTGCCTCATGAACATGGCGTGGATCGTCTTCTTCACCAACGAATTCGTGAATGTGGCCACCGCCACGCTCATTGTCCTGTGGTTCTCGCTCTTCGCGCTCTACGCGCACATCGTCACGGAGCGCCGCGACGCTGGCTTTGACCTTAAGCGCTACGTGCTCAGCGAGCTGGGTCTCACTGTCTACTTCGCCTGGACTTGCGCAGCCACGCTCATCAGCTTCGCTGTCACGGCCCAGTACGTGGCTGGTGACTACCTATCGCTCACGTCGTACGTGGCGCTGCTGTCTCTGCTGGCGGTGGCCACGCTATCCGCTGTCATCTACGAGGGAGATGTTGCCTTTGGTCTCGTGGTCATCTGGGCGCTGGTCGGCCTTGCAGCCAAGAGCACCACGCTGGACGCTCGCGTCGAGCTCATTGCGATGAACATCCGCGCCTGCGCCACGCAGAGTGCCGCCATCGTCGCTGCCTTCATCATCATCTCCATTGCACACAAGTTGCTGGCCCCGAATCCGTAAGTTCTGCAAATGAAGAAGGTATTTCAAAAGGAAATTGCTAACGTTGTTTCTCTTCTCTGCAGGCACTTCCAACCGCTGCAATCAGGTGCCCCGCTTTATGGCGACAAGCCCGTCGACTACGGCACCACCCACGCGTAACTTCTCCTCCCTGGCATGACTCATACACAGGCGTGTAGACCATAGGCACAGCATAAATTTTGCTAATACATGTACACCATGACTTGCCCCCTCCTAAATCGGATACGTTTTTGCCTTCTCCAAGCAACCAAAACTTCAAGCAGCCAAATCCAATTTCGGCTTCAGTATCGAAAAAAGAATCGAAGAAGAAAGGAAGGCGATGGCTACGTTGCGCCCGACATTGCAGGAGACGGCGCGGCTCCCGTGGGTGAACGCCGCCTTCTTCGGGCTGCAATCGCTGCTGACGTGCATCGGCCTGGCGGTAGGTGACGCGGGCGACGTGCGCGCCCAGACCGACACGTTGTTGACGCCTGCAGCGTACGCCTTCTCCATCTGGAACGTCATCTACCTGCTCTGTATGATTCTACTCATCACCGACATTTCGTACGCGGGACTATCGCTCTACGACTCGGCTGCCAAGCCCAATGCGCTACGGCTATGCTTCGCCGCCTCCTGTGTGGTTAACGGCACGTGGTGTATTGTTCTGGCCAGCGGACACGTGGTGGGTGCCAGTGTGCTGGTATCGCTGCTATGGCTGACGCTGCTGCCACTCTACGTCTTTGCAAGCTACGAGCGCAACGTCAAAACGGTGTTGTGGCACGAATATCTGTGCAGTGAGCTGTGCATCCGACTGTACTTTGCGTGGATCACGGTGGAGGCCGTTGTGAGCTGGACCATGGCGTTGCAGATCAAGGACGGCAGCTACCTGCAGCTTTCGACATATCTAACAATACTGGCTGTATTACTAGTGATGGCGCTGTCAGGGCTTTCGCACGGTCGAGATCCTATCATGGCTCTAGTAGTGACGTGGGCGCTCGTTGGCATCATTTCCAAGGACGTCTCGAGTCTCGACGGTCAAATTGTCAAGGATTTCGAGAAGATACAGGCAGCTGCAACACTTGGAGCTGGTGTGTTGATTGCTATGGTGCTGGTGTCGTGTAGCTACTGGATCATTGAATTTAACTGGTACGAAGACAGCTCTCATCCGCCCAACAAGTCCACTAACCGATCGCTAACTTGTGCTGCTGGCTTGTGACACAACCCAGCAAGTCGAAGCCGCTGTCGCCCCCACCAAGACGGCTCTCTAGACTCTCCCAAGCCTCTGCTAAAGACAACGATTACGGCTCGATCAGATTCGTGGCGGCAGCCTGATGTCGCTTCCTCCTGCTCGGACTCTCCACCAGTATATCCATGTTACGTTTGACTCAGAAATTTATTTTTCTCCAATCATGATGACGAATTTTGAGTTTTCCCGCCAATCATAACCGTCAATTGTCCTTCATATCAACTTCTATACCATTATCCCGCAACAGCACGCGCATGATGGAGCCACCTTCTCTCGGGCAGCATCTGCCCAGCGCCAACGTCGTGCTCTTCCTCGTCCAACTTGCAGTCGCCATCGGCGTCCTCATCTTCGCGCCTGAAGGCTCCTGGTCTCCCTCCAAAGCGCACGACTCCGCCTCCGCATCATCCGGAGCTTTGGACAGCAGCGGATCGTTGGCTCTAGTGCCCGCCGCGACTCCTACAGCCTCCACACTGACGCCGAGCAATCCACTGGCGCCTCCAGCCTACGTGTTCTACATTTGGGTGCCCATCTACATCTTCACGGGTATCACCGTCATCACTGATCGCTTCTACCCGACCTACAGCTTCTACCTCACATCCGACGACCCGAGCTTCTTGCGGCAATGGTTCCAGCTCGCATGTCTGGCCAATATGTCGTGGGTAGCGCTTGATATGTGGTTCAGCTGGGTGCACATGGCTACATTCGCACTGACGGTGCTCTGGTGTACGATGCTGCCGCTCTACCTCTTCGTTGTGCGTCACCCCACGCCAAGATATTCACAGGCCTGGATCTATTATTTCTGCAGTGAATTCTCCGTGCGTCTGTACTTCGGCTGGCTCAGTGCTGATGTGATATTCAGTATCGCCGATGTGATGCAGTATCTACACGCAGGATACTTTGGCTTTAGTGTCTACGCGATGTTACTGGGGGCGCTTCTGGTGCTAGCGTTCGGCACGTATGTCCATGGACGTGATCCGGTTGTGGGTCTTGTGGTCACTTGGGCATTGCTGGGCCTTACATTCAAGCACGCAACGTTCCCCGGAGATACACAGGAGGTTTTCAACAAACTACGCGCTGTCGCCATCGTCGTCGCGCCCGTTTTCCCGATCTTAGTGTTCATCGACAGCGTACGATACGTCTACGTCGTCCATTGGAAAACGTAAGTTACTGGGGGTATTGTTGCCTTGCGTTGATAGATATTGACGTTGTCAATGGCTTTTTGTTGCTGTAGTTCCAGGGTTCCAACCAGCAGCAACGAGTACTACAAGCCATTTGTGTTCGAGACCACGGCAGAGTATGGAACGGTGTGAGCTGCTCAATACGAAGCCTAGCGTAGTCGAAGTGTACGTTTGTTTATACATTGGTCTGCGGACAATTTTGATCTGCTCTTGTCAACTTTCCCTCTCTCGTTTGGATAAAATACTCAAGTATCTTGCGATACACTCGGAGAGTAAAAGTTGGTAAGTGACGAGTACTTTGGTTTCCCAGTTTCCCATGAAATTGCTTGGAAAAGTGCAAAACTTGCCAGTTCAAAGGCTGAAACGTTAGAAGTACGGATGCCGACACTCGAGACGCAGGTTCACTGGACCAATACGGTGTTTAACATGCTCTTCATCGAGGCGTTCGTTTGGTTTGCTCGAGTTTGCAGTAGCGAAGTCGTGGACTGGAGAACCGGAGACACGACGCAGCTCTTCAATCTGCTGGTACCATCCAGTTGTGTGCGTCGTGTTCAACTGCCGATAGCGGCCGACAATTTTCTCCATCCCGCTTTGGAACCTTCGTCCCCTCAGCATCGATATTTCCCTGGTATGACGTTGAGAAGGGAAGACTTTCTAGTTAGCGTTTTGGAGTTCTCACAAGGTCAAATAGGCTCAAAGTACATTCTGAGTGTTTAGTACGCCGTCTGAAGTTTCGTTAATACGGTGGTAGCATGGCTGTTTAGAGAGCTCCACGTTATTCCGATCAAGATTGCTTTGAGGTTTTGGTTCATCATGGTCGTTATAACAATGGCTCAAGTCAATCAAAACAAAGTCACGCGTTAGTGCGAAGGAAACAAGACGCACATCTACAACCTGTTGGCTCGGATGAGCTGCATACGCCGAGTTCGCCTACCGTTTGTATCGGACAAATTTACTTCATTTTGCCTGGAGTCTTGGCCCACCCCAGCGCCGATTCTTGCCCGGAACAACTCTGGGAGTGGAAGAAGACATTGTGCTGTCTACTGCAACTAATTTGTGCTGTAGTGCAGTCCTGTACAGAAATTTCTACCGCGACGATTACTTGACCCCATTCTGATCATCGTCTTGTGGTACGTCATGCTACCGTTCTACGGACTTGCAGCGTGTTATGACGACGTGGTTTGCTGTGGCACTCGCTAACCAAGAAATAGCGCCTACAGACGACGCCAAGCAGATACCTGCAAAACTGTAGGCAACTGCAATTGCTGACAAGGTCATCTTTCCGCTGATCGTCTTTAGTATTGCCATTTAATACATTGCGCTGTTTGCTGTTGACTCTAAACTCGGTATGCTTTTGCAGCAATCCTTGTCAAATTCTTGGTGCGACACTAGAGCCTGGGTAAGTAAGCGATCAGATTTATCCGTCGCAAGTGTATATGAGCTATACTAACACTGGAAATGATACCATTTTTCCATTCAGTTGTACGTCTCTCGTTCGTCGCATTCCATCATTTTCGCGGTCTCTTTCACTCACAATGCTACATGTGCTCGGTTCATTCTCCAACTTGCATCCGATATCATGACGTGGATGGATCCCGATGCAGTCACCTTCTTCTATGTCGCCGTATTACACATATCATGCGTACTAACCATGATCAAGTACGCTACAACTCCTGATCGTGTTGCGCCTGATCCAGCTGAACACGTTTACAATCTATTGGCACCACCAGACTATGCGCTTTCCGTTATGTTTCCAATCCTATTACTTTTCAGTATTAGTCGATTTGGCCCCATAGCGTTGCTATTTGATTACCAGGACCTCACACCGGCCTCTATACTCATTATCCTGGTTGGTCCGGTCATTTTTGCGGTGCTAGTATTTGGGCTGATACCCTTCCTGCTATTCTGTAAATTGCGATTGTACCTGGCGCCGATAACATTGATACTGGTGTGGGCTGGAGCGCTGTATTGCTATGCGAGTTTGGAAAGCACAGCCGAGCGAATGCCTGAAAGATACCGCTCTCGACACGCGACAGAAGTGATTCAAAACACATGGGGCAAGCTTTCAGTGCGTCTCACGCTTATCTGGCTCAGCGGTGCAGTCATCTTTTCGATCATTGACATGGTGCAGATCTTCTATGGCGAATATTTCGGCTTCGAATCATACGTGAAGCTTATGGGATTGCTTCTCGCGTTTGCGGTTGCTGCTTACGTTCAATGTCGCGATCCTGTGGTGGCCTGGGTCACTACGTGGTTTGTTATGGTGTTAGCAAATAGAACGAATGTCTATGAGGGCGAAACGAAGAAGACATTCGAAAAGTTGCAGGCTGCTGCTTCAGCTGCGGCGTACATTTTTGAGATAGTACTGATCTTGGATACTATCGAAGGCCTCAACGAGTTTTTGGGCAAGGTAAGCAAGGTGTATCTCTCGTATGTAACTATGTTTTTCGCTAATAATTGCATTTCTTAGTTTATATATCGCCCGGACCCGGATTCCGCTTCTGAAAGCGACGACAACCTCAACACCGTGTACGGAACAGTATGAGTTTTGACGAATCTTGTTTCACCTTTTTACAAAAGACAAGCGTTTCTCTCGGTGTCAATCAGCCCACCGTTTCATTTTATTAGATCTTACAACAGTGGTCGCCAACTTTGGCAGCAACTAGCATGCATTTTTTCGTTTCCTCCACAAAAATCCAACGAATTCGTATTCGTCATCCTTATTTTTTTTTAATTGCCAAGACTTAATTAACCGATATTGTCGCACGCAGAGCTACTGTTGTTGAGCTGTAGCCACTCTTCCATCAATGCTGCTCAATAATGTAAACTCTCGTAATTTAATGAGTAGTATTCCACATCGTCTTGTCGTTGCTTTAATCACTACCTTCTCGTACAATAGAAGTTTGTCAAGGTATTACGGCCATTCCGATCTGGTGCTTCATCTCCATTCCATGCCATAACTACACCGGTAGTCGTTAAGTGTCACAGCAATGTTAAGTACCGGTATGTCACTCTCAACGATGGCGCTGGAGGCCATGCTGCTCGTGCTGCAAATCATGGTGAACATCGACTGCCTCAGGATCTTCGTCGTCGCCGCGACGGCTGCTGTGCCCACCGAGTTCGATGCGGCCAACACCAGCGACTCTCACGATTTCTTCAATCTGCTGGCGCCTCCAAGTTATGTGTTGTGTGTCTGGATGCAACTCTTCATGTGCTTCATGTTTGGAGTCTGGCTTGGACCCAAATCTACACTTGGCAGCTTCATAGCACGATACTCCACTCCAGCGTCTCGTGAGCCTCTGTTCTTGAGCTTAGCACTTGGTGTCATCTCCATTTCAGCCATACTATGGGATTCCCTAATGCTACTAGAGAGAAGATGCTTGGCTCCCATCGCACTATTCTTCGTGTGGTGCGGGTCTCTTCCTTTCTACCTGATACTAAATCGTCCACATCGAGTTCCCAATACGCTCTTGGACGTTATAATCTTCACTCTTGGGGAATTGTCCGTGCGTCTCTACTTCACGTGGCTCACTGGGGCTGTTATCTTTGGGATTCTTGATGCACTTCAGTATCTACACGGCGACTTCTTCAGCTACATCGTCTATGTTCAGCTCATGGGAGCGATGTTGGCGTTGGCACTTGGAGTTTACATGCAGAGTCGTGACCCTGTTGTGGCACTGATGACTACTTGGTTTCTCGTTGGACTTGCATACAGGAAATGTACCTTTGAAGGCCACGCCAAGGAGACGTTCGAGAAACTACAGACAGTAGCTCTGGTGATAAAGCCCGTGTTTCTACTGGTGTTGGTCGTTGATGCTGTCAAAAGCTTTCGTCCCTTTCTTCAAAATGTAAGCACTGCCGTTATCCACGTTGAAGTCTTCAACTTTTATTCTAACTACTTGTTCATAGTTTGTGCGCGATACCGAGGGCTCGTCCAGAAGCGATGAACATGTAGTCATTGCAGTGTATGGGACGGTGTGAACCAGATCCTTGTCTCTGGTTGCAGTCAACGATGACATTCTAACTGTCGGGAATAAAGGCAGCTATCACACCGTTGGTTTTTTCCGTGGCTCTACCACTTTTCATTTTGCGCACTTGCAGGCAAATCATTCATTCGCCATGGAAGGCACGCGGTTCGCTTTTCTCAATGCTGCGCTGTTCGTGATGCAAGCGGTCGTGAACATTTTGTATGCCAAGCGGTTTGTGACAGTGGCACACGAGTACGAGACGCTAATCACCCCAGCAAGCTTCGCTTTGGTAATGTGGATTCTCGTGTACGCACTGGAAGCTGTGCTAGTCGCTGTCGATGTCTTCACGCCCCGATACTCGATGTTTGCCGACGCCAACCAACCAGCGCGACTTCGTCTGTGCTTTGGAATAACGTGCATTCTCAACACCCTTTGGGTGTTCTTGTACGTGTCGGGTCATGTGTACACGTCTACTGTGCTCATCTTCGCGTTGTGGCTCGCCATCCTGGTGCTGTACATCTACGCTGTCAATGACCGGAACGCACGCGAGACCGGACCATTTGACTGGATCCTGTACTTGTGCAACGAGCTCCCCATTTCGATATACTTTGCGTGGGTTACTACTGTGGCTTTCACGCAACTGGCGATGTCGATGCAGCACTCACACCACGACTATCTGGGTCTCACCACTTACGTCGCGTACCTCTGCGTCGTCATTGTGCTGGGGCTGTTGACTTCAAGATACGCGCAAGACATGATTACTGGTCTTGTCATTGTCTGGTATCTCATCGCAGTTTCGACCAAGCACGTCCAGTTCCCGCACTCAGTACAGTGTATGGACATCGCTGTTCGCGCGTGCGCTGGAGAGGGAGCAGCGATCATCGCTGCTGTGCTGGCAATCAACCTTTGTCAGTATTGTGTGGAGGACAGGTAAGCTTTGTAGCTGAGCTGCAACTGATATCGACTGTCTGTGATCACTAATGAGCGTGCCTTGCTTTTGATATGCGCTCGTGGAGTGAAGCCGTCCTCCAGCCTCGGGCATGGGTTCGGGAATGGCTGTCGTCGCGGGTGCCACCTACGGCTCCACCAGTGCATAATAGTGCGGTTCCTGCTATTCCTCGTGCTGCTGCTCGCGTTTCAATTGCCGTCCACTCCGCTACGGGAGTTCCAATCCCGTAGCATTGTTCAGTGCACAGTGAGGCTGAACGAGAGTAAACACTTTTTTTTTTCCGAAAGTGAACTTATTACGCATTGTTTTTTTTAGCATCAGTATAAATCATTTTATTTAAAAAAAAAAACAAGACGCCATCGTTCTTTATACATCATTCCATGCTAGATGCTGAAGCCTAAAATGCACATTTGTGAGCACAAAGGCACACAAGTAAATATGTTCAAAACGAAATAATTTCCTACCTTTCTAACGAAATGGTTTAAAAAAAA